CAAATTCCCGTGGCTGAAGAAGACGTTCCTAAAACAGCCGTGTGCACTCCGTTCGGGCTCTTCGAGTTTACAGTTATGACGTTCGGACTACGTAATGCCGCACAGACTTTCCAAAGACACCTGAACTCTCTAATAAGTGACCTTGATTTCTGCTACGTGTATATAGACGACATCTTAGTGTTCTCCCGAGATGAAGCAGAGCACGTCGAACATCTAAAAATGTTATTTTCTAGGTTACGGGAGCATCACATAGTGATTAACCCGACCAAGTGCGTGTTTGGTGAAGCCGAAGTGAAATATTTAGGACATACGATTTCCGGGAGTGGAACCAAACCACTTGAGACGTCGGTCAGTGCAATCCGCGAATTCCCCAAACCAAAGACAGTTCAAGATCTGCGACGGTTCCTTGGCATGATCAACTTCTACCGACGTTTCATTCCCCACGCAGCCCAGACCCAAACACCACTTCACCAATATCTGAACAACGCGCGGAAGAATGACAAAACAATAGTCGAGTGGACAGAAGAAGCTGAAGCCGCTTTTGAAACGTGCAAGACAGAGTTAGCCAACGCCGCGCTTCTGGCACATCCCGCCGAAAATCTGCCGCTCAGAATTATCACCGATGCTTCTGATTACGCAATCGGGGGCGTACTAGAGCAGCACTCCAATGGGACCTGGCAACCTTTAGGTTTCTTCTCCAGAAAACTTAGCAAGGAGCAGCGCAACTACAGCGCATACGATCGTGAGCTGCTTGCAGTTTACGAAACCATAAAATTCTTCAGGCACATGGTGGAAGGCAGAGACTTTTGCATACTCACCGACCACAAACCCCTCATCTACGCGTTTCAGCAGAAAGCAGGCAAAGCATCCCCAAGACAAGTCAGGCAGCTAGATTTCATCGGCCAGTTTTCTACCAACATTATCCACATTTCAGGAGAACAAAACACAGTTGCAGACACACTTTCAAGGGTCAATGAAATCACAACTCCTACGTTCATTGACACCGACGACTTAGCCAAGGAACAAGAAAAAGACGCCGAACTAAAAGCACTTTTAAACTCTGATACAACAAGCCTGCGGTTAGAAAAACTCACCCCACAGGCCGGCCAGAAAGCTATCTGGTGTGACACGTCAACGGGGGTGGTTAGACCATACGTTCCACAAGATTCGAGAAAAGTAATTTTTGAAGGATTTCACAACCTCTCACACCCCAGCGGCCGAGCGACCAGTAAGCTCATCAAGAAGCGATTTGTGTGGCCATTTATGGAGAGTCACATAATGAAGTGGGCACGAAGCTGCATCCCTTGCCAGCGATCCAAAGTTGGCCGACACACCAAAGCCCCATTACAGCATTTCGATGACGTCACAGAACGGTTCCAACATGTGCACATCGATATAGTAGGTCCGCTACCTCCCTCTCAAAGCTACAGGTATTGCCTCACTATGTCTGACCGTTTCACCAGGTGGCCAGAGATCGCACCCATGACCGACATGACCGCAGAGACAGTCGCCAAGACATTCTACGAAACATGGATTTCAAGATTCGGTTGCCCAAGACAAATTACAACCGACCAAGGGCGACAATTTGAAGCATCCACCATGAATGCCTTGGCGAAAATTTTGGGCATTCAGCGCTCTCGGACGACGCCATATAGGCCCCAGAGCAACGGCCTTATCGAGAGATGGCATCGAACCATGAAGGCAGCCATCATGTGCCATGAAGCAGAAAGTTGGCTAGACGTTCTACCTACAGTATTATTAGGGTTACGTACAGCCATCAAAGAAGACATCGGCCACTCACCAGCAGAGCTGACCTACGGAACGCAACTGAAAGTCCCAGGCGAATTCTTTTTCAGCAATATCGACAGATCCGTAGAACCCACTACCTTTGTAGAAAAACTACGGGACCACATGAGGAAACTTCGCCCAACTCCAGCGTCGCACCACATTAGGCAAAGCACCTTCGTCCACACAGAGCTCAGTAAATGTAGCCATGTTTTCCTAAGAGACGACACCGTGCGAAGACCGCTCCAACAGCCCTACACCGGTCCACACCTTGTTCTGTCTCGTACTGCTAAGACAATAAAGGTCAATGTAGGCGGTAGGGAAACAACAGTGAATATCGACAGAGTAAAACCCGCTTTTATTCTCCAAGAACCAGAACCACCACCGGCTCCATCCCCAGTACGAACACAGGAAGTTACTCAAACCACCAGGTCAGGCCGCAGGTCAACGCTCCCCGCACGTTTCAGAGAATGACAACTGACAGCCGTTTTGACAGCTGTCACCCGTTACTTGGGGGGGGGTATGTGGCGTTGCTGTGATGTTAATGTAGGCAACACAACGCACACGTACTACTTCCTCTCGCCTACGAGTAGGCAACTCAATATGCTCACCGAACACCACTCGTGATTGGTTAGCCTGGCGCCGACGCAGAGACCAACTGGGGACACAAGGAGGCGCGAGTACGGCAAGTACTTTCTTCTGCCGCCGACATCGAAACGAAGAAGATGGGTACCGTCTCCGGTTCCACGTGTAAGATATCCGTTTGTAAATAAACTATAGAGAAACCCTACCTGGTGTTAGTCATTTCCACAACAGTATATTGATTCAGTTTCTTAGAAAAACTTTGTCTGAGCAATTTAAGATAAAACCCATATTAATAACGTGCACATAATACCAGATTTCAGATGTATTATGTATCTTTCAGATTTTTTTTTCAGATGGTTAATGATTTGTGGTGATAACTATAAGCAAAATAAATTCAATAATTTTGATGGGTCTTACAACATGTAGGTACTGTAGGTAAAGTTAGTGTAATGTCGTCCACGGAAATTAAAAATAAATCAACAATTTTTACTAATAAATTATTTTAGAACCAAAAGTGTAATATAATATTTATTTATAAATTAAAAAATTACTACGTACACAATACAACCAACTTTTCATCATTACTTACAACAGTGTTATAAGTCTTTAAATTCCAAAGAAATCCTTGCAGTTTCTGACATAAATTGTAAAAACTTCATTACGCTATTCAACTAGGTACCCGAATGAGATTAACCTGGTTTCCCCTACGTCGCTCTTCGCACTAAATTGTTTTGTAAAATCATTGTAATTATAAACTAATTATTAATATAAGACCGTTTAATATTTCATCAAGTTCCCTATTTTGTTTTTGACATCCAAAAAAAAAATAAAATAAAATCACATTTCTCTAAACAGAACCCCTTTTTATTTTCACCCAACAACCCAACACCCGCTCGTCACACATGTCAACCGCTCAATTATATTTATTCTGCTTTTATTCATGCATGTGAAAAACAATAAACAAACAAACCCGCACTTCACCCCAGCAACCAGCAACCATCAACCCCCACGCCGATGGCCTCATCAAAGCCCAAAAAACCATTGGGCTACTTAAAGTGTATTATACAATTTATTTATAAACTAAAATAAATAACTTCATATGCTGATTTTAAGCGTAGATTTTTCACTGCATAGTTAAGAAATAATTTTTATATTTACGTAAATTTTTCTAGTCTAGAAAAGTGAATTTTTAACTGAAGAAATCCGCACTTTCTGACATCAATTATACAATTTAATTGTACAAATTTTATGAAACTCCTTTGTATCAATAGTTCGTCATATAATACCAAAAATTGTTAATGTGCAAACCTTATGACCGCCGTTTTAACATCTACATAGGTATACTTCTTGAAGGTCAGTAACGAACGACGTCATATCTTTTGAAAGGGAAAGGGATGAATGTTTGGTAGAGTTTAATTCTCGTTAAGATTATCTCTAAATATACATTAGTATTTGTTATTGTTCACTATGGTGATTAGTTGTTTAGTAGGAAGAAGACAAACAAGCAGAAACTTAGATTTTCGTATTTTGCAAGTTGTGAAACTACAAGAAAAATGAAGTTATGCAGTCGTTAATGCGAAATTTTTATATCCAGTATTTAACATTAAGTAATACAAATTTTAAAAAATGTGACAACAGAAATATTGAGCATTTCTAAAATTGTTAAAAAACAAATAACATTACATTACAACATATATAAAGCGTCTTCTTAATTATCGTCCACTTAATTCGCATACGAATAGTAACACGAAATGGACATAAATATCCAGCCAACGACATTAACCTGGTTTCCTCTACGTCATTCTTCAGCACTAAATTGTTTTGTAAAATAATCCAGAGCTCATAAAGTAGTTATTAAAAAAAAGCCCGTTTAATATATCACATCCCTCCCTTATTTTACGTTCGTCACCCCCAAAAAAATAAACAAAAAAAATTCAGAATTCTTTAAATAGAACCCCTTTTTACTTTCACCCACTAACCCACCACCCGCTCGTCACACGTCAACCGCCCAACCATGCTCATTCCGCTTTTCTCCATACATGTGAAAAACAACAAACAAACAAACCCCCACCCCACCCCCGTGACCAGCAACCATCAACCATCAGCCAACAATCCCAGCCCGGCGGCCTCATCAAAGCCCAAAAAAACCATCACGCAACCACCACATCATTTGTTGCATCGGTCCATCCGCCGGGGGGCGTTTCCGCCGCCTCCGTCGCAACACGACTGCCGCACCCGCTCGCTCCAGCGGCCGACGCATCACGCCGTAACTTCAGCCGCCGCCGCGTGCTCTCAGCCGCCGCTTGACGCATTGCAGGTACATATCGACCAATCGGATCGCAGCCTCGCACTTTCGTACGTTGTAAACAAGCCGCGCCCTACGTTCAAACGTGGCGGAAGCTCCGCGAGGAAAAGTAGCGCCGGACAAGCAGCCGCACGAACGCGCCCATTTCAAAAAGGGCAGCTCGTCGGGGCGCCCCGGACGCGCCGGGGGCCCTCGGGGACGGCGGGAGCGGCGCTCCGGTGCTGGGACGAAGCGGTGGCGGCGTAGGAATATTTACTCGGTTGTGTCGTAGCCGCACCGTTGCGCTTTGGCGGTGGCCCCCCCACCCGCCCCATCCTAAACAAAACGAGAAAAGACTCAGACGCAGACAGTTGGCTGGTGCACTCTGACAGGAACAGTTGTCAGTGCCGTTTGTGTGCCCGAATTTTGTTGAGTGTGTCCTTTTGGTGCAAATACAGCCATGGTAAGGGGCCCCGCGGGGCCGTGGGGGGATCTATGGGGGCGGCGGGAGCGGATGGCCCGCTTTCGCCCGGATATTTCCGGCTGAAGACTTTGTATATACCTGTCAAATCGGTGTTTCCGTAAACCGGTAAATTATTTTACCGCAATGCGGACGTTGGATTGCCAAATTTAAAGCGGCGGAATGTACAGGGTGTTTGCTTTCTAGGCTGACCAACTCACTGAGGAGCAGATCGCCGAGTTCAAGGAGGCCTTCTCGTTGTTTGACAAAGACGGCGATGGCACAATCACCACGAAAGAGTTGGGGACGGTGATGAGGTCGCTGGGGCAGAACCCTACGGAGGCAGAGCTCCAGGACATGATCAACGAGGTGGACGCTGATGGTGAGTCGAAAGAGGCGGCCCGCTAAATTCCTGTTTTTTTTCTCTCTGCTGCTGCCAACGTAAAAAAATGACCATCTGTTGACTGCGATTTGATTGTTGTCGTAACGGTGGGTTTATTTTTACAAGAAAAAGGCGAATGTGATGTAATGATAACCGTTATCAAAACAGCCAAAGTATAAGTGTTTCGTCTCTATTTTAGTATCGATAATAAAGCGATAATTTACTGCATTGTTCTATACAAATTTTCCAATTGACTAGAACGCTGATAAAATTGCGAACACAGTTAATCCTGATACTAAATTCCTACTAGGAATGGGCTTATCACTAAATGCGTCATCGATATTTCATTGCGACGGTCTTTATTAAAAAAATCACTTCAATTATTAAGCTGGATCACAGTTGGCAGCAGATTTGAAAGTGACTTACTATAACGTCATTTGTACATTGTAAACTTTGATGACTAATACGATAAATAACTAGAACGGAACTTTTTGCACCTATTATTATCGTTTTAGGAAAAAAACAAAAATAGATGATTCTTCACAGAGACTATTTTTATACGAACTTGCTGTTCCAGTAGCTCTAAATCCAGTGGGCCGTGACTTGACCCAGTGCCGCCACCATGACAGCAAATGTCAAGTGTTGACACATGCAAAATTGGGCCTAACCAAAACACTATTTTAATCCATTCATAGAACATTTATTTCCTTCCAAACATTACAGTACCATACTGTGACGTCGCCTCTAAAGGACCAGGAGTCTATAATCAGAGTTCTGTTCAGTATATTCGTATTACCAAGTTGGACTGTATCAGATTTTACGAAACAACTTCTTTTGAATAAACACAAAAACAAATGTCAACTCGGAAATTAAAAAACACTTATAAAACAATCATTTTTGTTACTTTTTAACAACGTTTTAATTTGTGTAACATTTGCACATTATTGTCCCATATGACGTTTGTATACCACTACATCTCATTTTCAACTTGTAACATAAAAACCTACGCCATCACATGGTAAATATTATTTTACAGTTCGTTTGTCAACATGGTTGACTCCATTAGCTTATGTATCTAAGTCGTAAAATGTTAATCATTTGAAAGCTTAGGGTGTATTAATATAAAAGAGATTTATCGATATATTGTGCATGTCCATGCTGCTAAAATAAATAAATCTTCCGATTGCAAAAAAAAAATGTTGAAATAGATATATAAACGGTGGGAAGCTGGCGATTTACGGTAAAAATTTAAAGCCAAACAGGTAAGGTATGTTTAGAATTTTATAATTGTTTTTGGAAACATTATTTACGATGATGCTAAAAATGAATTATTGAGAAAAGTTGTTGTCACACTTATTCAGCTCTTTGATGTCCAAATCTGGTTCAAGAATCCACGAAAACATGAAACTATAGATTCGACTATACATGGGCTTGTTTTGTTTTATTTGTAAGATAGATATTCGTGTAAAATCAAAATTAATCGCGAAAGTTTTCACAATTTATTTTTAAACAATTCGTAAGTGGGTGATTTGTTGGCAAACACATTTTGAAATATCACAGCATGCACCGTTTTAGATTGTTTTAAGCTTTATATTTTTGATAACATGGCTTGTAACATCAGAACTATCGTATTATAAATGTGCGTGGACAGTTTTTACAGTTCTTGTTTTTTACAAAAAAAAAAAAAAATATAAAAAAATCGAATAATATTTTTCGGATTTGTTTTAAGTACTGCAATTCATTTATTCCCATATGTTGATCTAAATAAACATGATGAATACTTAACAAGTTCATTGTCAGAATTTACTCATTAATCAAATCCAGTTTGTCTTAATTTCTCCGTAATAAAAATGTATGAACGTCAAATTCTTATTAAGATATTTAAAAAAATTACTTTTGCGCTTGCAATTAATTAAAATATGGTGGCGAAATTGCATATTTTTATCTAATCAAGGGACTTCTAATTAAATTGCCAGTCACTTTGTCGGTTTATGATTTCGTAACAAATGCCACTGCAAAGGTAACTGACATCTCCAGATTTATGTACTTCATGTACTCCATTAATCGAAAAAATGTCCACATTAAAGAGGTTGCTAAAAGCCACCATCCTAAGTAGCTGCAATTTCAACAGCTTTAGTCATTTTCTCTATGACATTTAAACAGCTTAAAATTATTGATGCATTACTCACTAAGTGCCATTTTCTATTTCAGGATGGCGCGAAAGTTCTTAAAAAATGCATATAGACATGGTATTTTAATAAATTCAAGTCGAAAAGTTCACAATTCTAATTTTCGATCCAAGTTTTGAAGTTGTAAACATTGGACACTTTTAAGTTTGGTAAATGTTTGGTGCTGTTTGAAATTTTAGTCATCGATGTGGTAACGAGCCAAATCTTGAGTCATGTTACACTTTGCGAGAAAAAATCTAACGTAGTTCGTAGCTTGTTTCTGCAAATCAGCGACATTGCCAACCTCGCAGAGCAAAAATGAAGTGTCGAGGTCACGTGTACCAACCTAAAAATCAATATCGCCATCAATTAGTAATCTTATCTCATCTGTCTTTGCACTGTTGTAATATAGAGTCACGTTAACCATGCAGCGGCACAATTACCCCACGGAACCCCCAAGATAATTTGCGAAATACTTATTTATTATTCATTGACAGTTCGCACTTGTAAGCCTACTATGATGGACCATAAAGGCAAAGATTACGCTATGAATTTTAATAGGTTTAACTGTGCGAAGGAAATCGGTATCGCATACGCACGATTTTTTTGTTGTTGACCTAGGGTTGATTTAAGGGTTTGTTTATGTGCGCAATTTAATAACAAAACTTTTTTAGTAATGGTTTTGTTTACTCGCGTAAAAGTCAAGAACAATCAAAGCATACAAAAGTCGGCGAAATGGGCCATGAATAAACTAGTGCAAAAACAACAAACAAAATGTTGGTTTGTTTTTCGTGATTATGCAACGAGATAATTTGTGGTTGGGTTCCTGTGTAAGCCGCCTACTTGAAAAGGAAAACGAGTAAAACGCGATAATGAGCGATGGAAGTTAATTGGGGACAAATTGGCACCACTGGATATAGAGGCTATAAATTTTTATGGATTTATTATTACTGGACGCTCGGGGATGTTTGGTCCAGTTACATGAAAGAGTCTTATTTGTGGAAACATAAGATTTGCTTATCGGTAATGGGGTATAATTACGGCGGTAAAGTAACATAATGGTTTCTAATAAGTGATTAAATTGTTTTCCAGTTGTATATTTTATGTTTTTGGTAGTACGTTATTTTTGTATTTATGACCGTACCGATAACGAAGTGCTCTCGTTATTTTATGAACTCCGTGCCTTTGAAGACAACTTTTTGGCATGAGTCAATAATGATTCATTGTGTGAAGTATGAAAAATATGGATCCTTTTTTATATGTGATCCGTATGAATAAGTTATGTGGTTATCAAGGTTTTTTGTGGGTTAAGAAAATGGAACTGTCGAAAACTTGAATCATATTCCGAAGATTTTTTTTATTGAATGAACAAAAGTTTTACTTTTAGGGGGATGCGAAACATTTTTTAAAACTTTTTCAAGGTTGACACTCGACAACAATATCGATTGATTTAAGTAATTGCGTCTTAGGTGACCTTAGACTCTTACTGGAAAATATTTTTTTGCGATTTGTCATTGTGTAACAGGTTGTGTTGATTGTAATAATGGCTTTTTAGCTAATGACTAATGAGTTGCTTAGCATACATTTTTTGCCATTTTGTGGCATATTCTAGGTTACCTGTGTTCTTATTGAATTAATTGATTGAATACCAAATTGTTTTTAAAATTAAAATAATAGTGTCGGTTTCATATTGAAACCACATTGGATATGCAAGATTTACCATCACTCTAAATTTACTTGCTTACTTAAAGTAATATATGAATAAACAACGTATGTCGAACACTTGTTCCAAGTTATTGGTAGCTTGTCCTTGCGACCAGGAGTGTTCATGTAAAATAAATACACAGTTCTTAAAAAATATATATCTATTTGTTTGGTGTGACAACCTTATCTACTATCTATCTAATTTTTGAAACACTACCGTTACAAAACCCTCGTGTCCAATAAGCGAAAGATTCGGTTGAAAGTCGTGATTGTGTAATTTATAAATAACGATAGATAGTAATGATAAACAATAGGTGTCTACACTTTCTAACCAATTAAAAATTTTCTAGGTAACGGTACAATCGACTTCCCTGAGTTCCTTACGATGATGGCCCGTAAAATGAAAGACACCGATAGTGAAGAAGAAATTCGCGAGGCATTCCGAGTATTTGATAAAGACGGCAACGGTTTTATTTCAGCGGCTGAGTTGCGTCACGTGATGACCAACCTCGGTGAAAAACTGACCGACGAAGAGGTCGACGAAATGATCAGAGAGGCCGATATCGACGGCGACGGCCAGGTCAATTACGAAGGTAAAAATGATTGTTTTTGTGTGTGTCGTTGTTTATTTTTTGTTTCTGGTGGTGGGTTTTGTACAATTCTGAAAAAAATTACGTAAATAAATAACAGAGCAAGCTATACCAGCTCTGTCGAAATTTTCTTTGTAAGTATCGAGAAAAGTATCATTCATCATGGGCCGCGTTCTCGCGTTGTCTATCATCACACTACTTTCTTGCGAATGTATAGCTCTTTTTTGTTGATTTTTTGTTGAAGATGTGTTCTAGACCAGGAAGGTATGACTGGTAGTGTTCCTTTGCAGATTTCCGAGCTCTAGCTCTCATAGTTTTCAGTCGGTACTCAGCCACACATGCTTCGAGCTGGTCAGTTGTAGTCTTGCTTTGGGAATGTGCTTAGTGGCATGTTATTATGTTACTGTTCCTCCCTGTCACTGTCTTAAGCACTCTTGGTTATGACGTCTATTCGCTTTTTATGGTTAGAATGTGAAGCACATTTCCAAATACGTTGACTGCATTTTTTCAGTGTGTAGATATTGTGATAACATGGACTAATCGACGGTGCCAAGGTAGTCTTCCAATGTTCGGGATGATAAAGCGACTTTAAGACGAGACGACTTCCATGGAGTGGTTCATACTCGTTTTAAATTTCATTTTAAATTCAGTGCCGCATAAACGGGTCTTTAAGAAAGAAAAATAAAATTAACTTTTAGTACCTTCGCGACGCTATAAAAATCCAGAGAATTAAATTAAATGACACCTTTGGAAGACTGTCGGTTTGCATAGTGCGATTCATGCTGTAATATTTCCATCAATTCCGCTAATATTGAACCATCCGTACCAACTAACGTGATCTCACTTATGAATGTATTGCACCCAACACTCTTGTTTATTACGTTGGGATTATGTTGTGCGGACGTACCGGGGATCGGATCGATTAAAGTGTGTTTTTCTTTACAGAGTTCGTGACCATGATGACCTCAAAATGAAGAGTAGAGCAGTTTGCATTTCAGCTTTCCATTGTTTCATCCCGGCCCATTATCTACAATTTCAACATCTTGAACTTTTTGCTTGGCTGCCGGGCCACTAAAGTGAAAAACTTAATCGTTATTTAATTTTACAAGACAACTTTAATTAATAATAAATATTTATAAATTAATATAATTGTGTAAATTTTTGTAATATATTTGTTTGGAAGGTGCAACACCAAGCATCCTCTATACTGTTTCAAACTTCTGTGCTACATGTCTAGTTGAGTCGTTCTCGTTATTCACAAAGTATGAAATTGTACTTATTAAGTCGTTCTTTCGGTGTTAGTTTAGGGGATACACAGACTTAGATACACTCAGAGTTTCATGTTTCATACTTTGTGATCCAAACATACATCTGTGCACTTAACTATAGTATGTATCCCCTTGTTTTCATTACGTCATGGTTCTGTTATCGTCATCATCCCCTCATCTCCTCTATTGTAGGTTTTACATTTAAATAGTTAGGATTTTCCAGTGTATAACCAAATAGACACTTTTTTTTCGTCAGTCAGCCTCGTCATTTTTTATTACTGACTTGTTTTATTTATTTTATTTATAGGTAAGACAAACTGTCATCGGTTACAATGTGAAATTATTAGATGTTTAAATTTGAAATAAATGTGACTAAAAATTATTTATCTAGTGATTGTTTATCATACCCGTTTTTAGAGTTACTAAATATTGCTATATTAGGACAATTTTTGTGTTAAATATTTTTCCTTATTTTGAAATAAACATTTTAAAGCCGCTTTCTGTTCTTACCCGAAATTGTAAGCACACAGTGAATACTTAAAACAAGAAAACATTGCTTGAGAACTGACTAACAAAAACCTACATTTTTGCACAGGAAATTATTAGCCCCAAATTGATACCCGATGATGAACGACAAACAGACATAACACATGTAGTGTAAAAAATCACTATACACCAAAATCGCACAATTTTCAAACTGCAATTTCATGAAATCTTGATTTTAAAAATGTTGAGATTTTTTTTTTATTACTTTTCATAGTAATTGATTTGCAGAATTTTTTTCCGAAAAGTGGGTTTCATATTCTTTTTCCATAATTTTACGTAGGTTGTGATAGTGAAGGATCGATTCATTGTCATCATTCACATTGCTGTAACAAAAATTCGGAAAGGAAGGTGGCGTGTTTGACTTAAGAAAACGTAAGTAAGTTGGCACACGACGCATGCGCGTTGTAATATTTTTAGTAGTGTGCATTTTAACTATTCGCCGTTCACCTTTAGCGCCACAAAATTTTCGTTCTTGTCCACAGTCCAAACTCGAAAAAGATCTTTTTCATTTTCACCAATCGTCCATTGTAATTAAATTTGAGCGAATTTTGAAAATTACATCTAATACGCCAGATGACGAAAAAAGGACCCAATACCAGTTGCCTTTGATGGTCAAATGAATCTTTTGCAAGATATTTATGAGTAATCATAATCAGTTAATCAAAAAACAACATCAAAACGAGGCACAAAATAAAAAGTGGAAATCATGGTGATTTAAACGTTTGGTAAAATACGAATACGAAATAAATATAGTGTGTATGCCAAATATTTTGAACAAACTGTCAAAAAAATGATGACATCATTTGACAGTAATTTAGTAAATCTCACTCCAAGTGCATACACATAAATACTACTAAAAATGTATTAAAATTATATTTTACAAAATATCACAAGAACAACTCACTATCATTAAAATTTTCCAAACGATGAAGTTTTCTTACAGATTATTTAAAACATTAATTAAAATATATTTCCTTCCTTCACACAACAGATGAGATCACTTATTTATTCAAAAACTGATTGTGTAACTTTCGGATGTAATCTCCATTATAGGATTTAATGTTCCTTGACTTCGTAAGATTATCTGCTGCGTATTAATAAGTACGTAAAAATTGTGTGTGATGTTCTCTTACTGCAACCCTTCATTTCTGAAGCATTACAATAACGATAATGTTGCATATTTGTAAAAGATGTTCCATTTTTACAAAAAATTTGGACACGCAAACGGTTTTTTAAATAGGTAAGTTAATTTTAGGAAGAAATTTGAAAGTATATGGTTTGCAGTTCGTTTTTATGTTTATTTTGGTTAACATTACCATATAGGTGGAGACAGCCATAAGTTAAAAAAGAAAGTGCTTAAACCGAAGGATTTCGTCTATAAAGAATACACATATTTTTTAAGAAAGTGTTTATTTTTGATTTGTTTGATAGAAATTGTTTCACATACAATCATCTGCAGAATTAGGTACTAATAGAACAGTGTAAGAATTGCTAAACTTTACCAAATATAGGAGAAATTTAATAAAATGAGAAGAAAAACAAAACATATTGGGAGCCACTCATCGAATGCATTTGTTAAGAAAACTGGCTAAAGATAAAATTAGAGCCCTTGGCATAAGGTTCGTTAGTTTTATTTAATGCTAAAATCATGGACGGTTGTAACATTGTTTAATCGAAATTCGCAGTTTCTTTCTGACAAAGAACTGCAAAACGCGCAAAACCTTGATAACATTTATTCACAACCGTGTTTGAGGGCCAAGTTCATCTTAATAACAGTGACTCTCAAACGTTTCACTTTCCCTCTATTGTCCGTCTGATTCATAAGATTTATTTAAGACACGTTATGCAGTCGTAAAAATAAAAAAAAACACGTTGACACTTTTATTATATTTGAAAACTTTCTGAGCATTGTCTTGGCAAGTAGTGGCACCCAAGCAATACAGTGAAACCTCAACACTTCCTTTTTTCAAAGGTCCACTTTTCCCTCTCCACCCTGTATAATCCAGGTCACTCGGCGTTCGCGACCACCAGGTGCGTCTCACCACTGACCTACCTCGTGTGAGTAATATTTCCGCGCACCTTTTATAAATAGATGGATTCGTCCGAGTCGTATCGCCGGACTCAACTCTTCAGCAGCAGAACCGCACCGTCGCCGTCGGTAGCGTCGCGACGCCGTGACCGTGGATATTAATAGTGTATGGTGTCGCCAGATTACGTTGTTTTATGCTAATCGGGGGACGCAACCACTGATTCACCTTAATGAGGCCTTTATTACACCACTCTAGTTTCGCCGCAATCAATTCGTTAACAAGGTAATATCGATTCTAGCTTTTATTCGTTACATTTAAATGCCGCTTTCACCTTGGGTGCTCACGTTTGGACATCGGGAACATTGCGCCTGTGTGAATGAGGGGTTCTGATTCGGGCAGGTGGGAGAGGGTGAAATTGGGACATTTCGGCTCAAAAAGTTGTACGGGATTTGAGGTTTTATGATTGATATGGACAATAAGAATGGAAGAAAACATTTTTCTGTGTTTTAATTGTCGTCTCCTTTACAAAAATGTTTCATTTCATTGTATCCCGATTGCTGTGTACAGGATGGTAAATTTTTGTGGTTTTACTGTTGTGGTCTAGGAAATCGGAAACGGATGGACACTGTGGTCCGTTTTTGTGTGATTGAATACATAAATAAAAAGTCTGGTACATTACACAATAGTAGGTATAATTAAAGTCACAGACAAAATTTATAGTGACAATAAAGTGGATTCGCAACAATAGCCCACATTTAATTTGTTAAAATTTTGAAGCTTAACCACTACACTTAAATGTCAGAATATAATGAGAATGACACAAGTGATAGATCTGATGTAAATTTGAATTATCACTTGACATGAAATGAACTGGCTAACTCATGTCTGAGTGTAACTTATAATATATACAAATTTCCAGAAAATTTTGACGCAAATGACGTTTCTTTGTATGTAGGTACTAACTTTGGTTGATGACTTCGTAATTAACTTGACTATTCAATTAAATAATACCTACGTCAAGAAAAGTCAAAATATTTTCTGGAGTTTTAAAATATGTTATTATTAGAACAATGAGAATTAAAGAAGAAAGAAAATATATACTTTCATTCTCTTATCATCTACAAAACAATTTAATTTTATTATAATTTGATTGCTGTTATACAGGATGGTAAATTTTTATCTTAGTACATATTGTGGTTTCGAAAACCGGAAGCGATACGAACTTGGTTAAATAAAAAAAGTCGCGCTAAATATAGGTATTATGTTTATAAATATCAGCTTAGTTACTTATGATGGAAAATGTGCGTTTTTATGTGTATAAATAAATACAACTATATAATTTGGTGTACACAGTAACAATTATAGTTATTTAGTTTAAATTGCCTTAAAATTTTCAGGGGATGGATATTGGAACTAGGGTTACAACAAATACACAAAAATATTATTTATAAATGTTAATAATTTATTTCAAATTTAATAGACATGAAAACTTGGTCAAAGCACTCGGTTTTGCAAATTCAAAATTAAATTGGAAAATGTTTTAAATTTTGATTTTTTTTCTAAAAATCTGGACGTTTCGGGTAAAAACTCAACACGGAGTCATAAAGAAGTACATGTGTAGGACTATGTTATTTCATACAATTCAAAACCCATTTACTATCTACAACTTTGAAGTGACTTCATCACATTATTGGTGGGGATGATTAGACAAATTTTGGTTAGCGTTTTACCATCTACATGATATTTCTAATATAAATACAAAATTTGAAACAGTCGGCCTAGTACTTTCGGAGATTATCTGTCTAATAAAAATCCATGACGGCAGACAGACAGACAGACGGAAAAGGGAGACCTATTTCTTCGTACTCTAGGGGTCATGAAAGGTCGAGAAAACGTAAAAATAGAGATTCGGCTGACGGACTCGATTACAATACTTCCTTCGCTTCGGTCGGGAAGTAAAAAGTTTTAAACAATTGCAAAACTTGTTCATATGATATTTAGTGAACATGAAAAAATGCACAATTTTTTCCTCTATTTAAACATAAGGAATATTAGAATTTTGTACAGCGACTATAAAAAAAATTGGTGGAAGGTTATTTCTACAGAGCTTCCGTCGCCCCTGAAGTACAGTAAAACATATCTAGCTTTTCCGAAAAATTATAAAATTTGATTTTGGGAATTTTATTTATTTATTTTTTTATATAAGGACTTTGAGAGATAAACAAATATATTTTGATTAAAAATTCACCAAGTTAATTAAATTGCAAAATGTTGTTAGGCAGTTTTCCTTTTTTTTACCAAAATA